GAAGATAATGACGGGATAATAACAACTGATGAATGGGTAAGTAGAAATATTTTTTGAGATTAAGTCGCAAATAATCTCCTTGTTTGTTTATCGTCTCTTTTCCTGCAAAAATAAACTACATTTTATTCAATTATACTTAATTTGTCTTAATGTCGCTTGTTATTAAAAGTAAGCTATTTTATATAATAATAACCCTATAGATTGACCTGTCTAGAATATGCTCTGTTGCCCATTTCATATGGACTGAAAATGTCTCTGTGATTAATCAAAATTCAAAATTTTCCCGAGAAATTCCAGCGCCCAAACTACCAAATGTATGAACTTACAGTGACCGACATAATCTATTCCGATCTAATAATTCAACGGTTGTATTCTCAAATCCTCTATTGATGTACGACTTAATAGTTCAATAGTTCGGAGCTGATCGTAACCATAAAAAAAAGACGTTTGAATTCTCAATTCAGACTTCACTCGTCCTGCCTGTAGCATTTAAAACCTTCTATCGCTATTTCCATTCAAGATACCCCTTGAATTGATATTCTTAACTTTCCTATTCAAAATTTTGCCATAGAGGTTCCTTCTTGGATTAAAGCCAGCATTGATACTTTTGTATAAACTCACAAATATCAGGCGAAACTAGAATATTCTTCTGGTTCCACCTGTTAAGCCCATATGACTCACTTTTTTTCCAGAAGTACCAAAGTGATAATTCCGATCACATCAGACACTTATTTGTGACTGCTCGAAATAATTGTAACCATGACCTGAAAGAAGCTAAGTCTTTGTTTACAGATAGAAGGAGCCACCGTTGAGACTCTATCAAATTTGGTTCACGTGACTACTGGCGGGTCTGTAATCAGTCAGTTATGTGTCATGCGTGATACACGTGTAGGCGATAATGTATCTCTCGATACATGACTGAAGAGGCAGATTTTTCCTGCAGTAGGTAGAACTCGGTATGTCCTGCTATTTACCCATAAGTGGGGGGGGGAGGAAGATGTTTCATCCCTTTCCCAAAGGTATTAGCACGTATATGAATCTAATGGATTCCAGTGGAATTCGAACTCGAAATCAAATCAACGTTTGATTAATTGAATTTTTTTTTTTTTTTTACTGCTTATCAACCTTTTGTAGATTATTTAAAGCTGAATCGTTATCCATTACTCCACCGGGCTCTGTAATAATGTGTTAAATAAGAGTAATTTTTCTATTTCGGCTCTCTTTACCCAATTTCAGTAATTGGACTTTATTCATGAATCTAAGCACATTACTAGATTGGCGGTCTCATCATTTTACAGTTGAAACGGCTAGATGTAACCGCGAGTCCTATGCTAATAGTTTCTTCCATCGCATTTCTCACTTGTTTTTTGGAACATACTTCTGAGTAGTTGCTTTCCCGAACGCTATAATATTAATCTCTTCGAATCAAGTTAATCGTTACTTATCATCCATACAATCATAATCCTCACTTCCTACTTTTATATTTATATCACACGCCTCTAACCCTCTACATCGAGTGGCGCTTGAGCCTTGTATTGTTTAACGCTAGTAAAAAAATATCAGATTGTCAACTCTTTATCCTAACAAGATCTCTCTGGTGATTTTTCATATATTGTAAGGATTAAACCGAAAGACAACATCATTGATGGGGAAAATATCGATTACCCAAATTTTATGGGGAAGTGGCCTACTGTATGGCTCGTTTTTCAGGATTCCATTCTAATTTCTCCACTATTCCGACCTCGAGGTTTTTACAAGGACAGCGAAGCTTTTTTGATGCTGTTGCATGTTTGCTGGTTGCGATGGACAAACCTCGTTACAGTTCAAGTTTCATGATTATAAAATGTACATCGGCCACTGGATTTAGAATGTTAAAGAAAATCATCGCTTGCAGGTACATTGCTGCTAACAACGTTTGAGTTGGGTTTTTTTTTTTACTTCTTATCAACCCTTTGTAGATTATTTAAAGCTGAATATCTTTTATTTCATGTAGGTAGTAAGCATCCGTTTATCTCACGTGATAAAGTTAGCGCCCACTTTGGTCAAAATTCATTCGTTTGGTGGTGAAAATGGAGTGACTTCTCCAGGACACATGCCTGAGCGATCGCATATGGAGGGTGCACGCTTCCCGAACTACATGGCCGTACCGACAAGATCTAAAGAAATACAAAGAATTACATTTGGTGTCGGCTTGGCTGAAGGAGTTGTTGGAAAATTGCCAGTATCGATAGCCAACCGGCTAGAGGCTCCCCTCCGGGTTTTCTGTCTTTCATAGCCTCTTCCGTGTTTGGATATGGCCTCCAGGCTGCGGAGGTTTGAAATTAGGGCTGTCGAGCTCCGTCTACCCGAAGCAGCGGGTTACAAGGCGTCCCACTCTGGATGTGATACTTGACTTTCTTAAAAATTGAACCGACAGCAGTACTGTCTACTCGATCAATGAATACAGAATGTTTCTTTATAAGGAAACGGTTAACATTGCTGTTACCATTATTGTTATTATTACCATTGCGTTTGGTTCTAAGATATTGTTGATATCTCTTATCGGCACAAAACTGGAGTCGACTAGCCGAGTTGAAATTTCAGCCCCATCCGTTGCTTTCACTTTCACACAAGCCTGAATCCATCTCTTCGAAAATCAGCTATGAATTAAATAGCAAGCAAAGTGGGCTTTCTAGTTTTGGGTGGCTGTCCGTCGAAGAGAAAGAAAACTTATACAGTATAACCCGGATATAAGAGACCAGGATATAAGAGAAACCCGGATATAAGAGAGATTTTCTCTGGTCCCAAATTAGAGCCTGTATTAATGTATATAAAATAGACCAAACCCGGATATAAGAGAAACCCGGATATAAGAGAAACCCGGATATAAGAGACTTCTTCTCCGGTCCCGGCAACTCTCTTATATCCGGGTTACACTGTAATTCCAAACTGTAGAGGAAGCAACGGAAAGTCAATCCAGTATTTTTTTTTCTTTTAAATTAATGACAATCCAGAGTTAATAAAGGAACGTTATTTCGGGAGAGCCGTGACCGTCTACACCTTGAAGGAATATGCCAATAAAATCTAATACAGTTCTTTATTCTTACCGTATATTAATGTTATTAATTATTTAATATATTGATAAAAAAAACCTCGCCAAAAGCGTCAGCAATGATGGCTAAATTGCGCAAGTGGTTTATGGGACAACAGTCAGCTGAATTTGCGTACCAAACTAAAAGCATTCCGGGCATTTGTCCTTAGTACTTTGCTTTACGGAAGACATACGCCAGGCAGGAAAATCACCTGGATTGCCTTCCATCTCCGCTACCTAAGGGTATCATCAGCATTACAATGGAGAGACAAAGTTACCAAAACTGCTGGAGCAAGCATGCGCCTGGATTTAAGATTGCTCAAAGATCTCTTTATCATTTCTTCCAGGAAAGCATGAGCTAAAAATGTTTACCACTAATCTGGCACTTCGGCAAGATCAACACAAGTCTAGATTGTCTGTCAATTTAAAACACATTTAATTGTAAATATATATTCAGTTAAATACAGGAATCATATAAATGACTTGAAGCGATTTCATTCTTTTCCTGTTGGAAGGGAAATTATCTCTCATGCCTATTTCAATTTTATTTAAATTGTGTGTGTATGTACTTGATCATATGACAGACGTAAATATTTTTTCTACAAAATAGAAAAAAAGACTTTAAAATAATTTTATTTACTGTCGAATTATTTTCTAAAAGTTCAATAAAATCTTATATGATTTTTTAGAGTTTTAAAAATTAACTTTCTTTTGGCGTGAAGTGCGAGTAAAGAAACTGTTACATCTAGCCAATTCAATTGTAAAATGATGAGACTTTGTTGACAATGCGCTTAAATACATAAAAGCTAAGTGCCATAATGAAGAGTTCATCCGAGCAATTACAATGAAAGTATTTATAGAAAAGGCACAGGGAAGCAACTTTACGCCGGTGAGAAAGTGAGTGAAGCCGAGACGTCAGTTCAGGTCCAACAACGTTGTTGATTCTCCTTTGGATTTTATCAAGAATCTCTAAATAAATAGCAGGACCATCGGGTCATATGGGGCAGGAATATTTTAAGCATGGACGAATGGTAGACTTATAGAGATATATGATATTTTCGGGCACCTCGACGTGGTGTAATGGTTAGCAAGCTTGTCTCACTAGAACTATTACGACTGAGTAGTGAGTTCGATCCTCACTTGTGCCACATCTAAGCTATGCTTGGTAAATCACTATATAAGATAGATTCGGGCACCTCGACGTGGTGTAATGGTTAGAAAGCTTGTCTTGCTAGATCAATTACGACTGAGTAGTGAGTTCAATCCTCACTGGGTGCTCCATACTTTCGTCGGGCTTAGAAAATCATTATATAAGATAGATTCTGGAGAGGAAAATTGTCTAGCACGACACACCGAACCAAATTTCTTAGCAGCAGAGCTAACAATGGATTCAATATAGTATTTCCACTTCATGTCAGTAGAGAATATTAAATTGAAAAGGCCCAACGAATCACTCTCCTGGAGGTTAGAATTCGACATGCTGATGAAGGATGGAAAGTAGTCTCAGGATGATTAACAGAGAGTTTTAGAGGCGTTAAAATTAACATGCCATTCATTGTCCTAGTTAATAACAGACTGTAGGTCGTCTTTTAGATCAGCCATCAATTTGGCCATATTGAACTGATCAGACTTATTATCCTGATGTTTTATTTCAAACACAGTCAAATCGTGTGTATGCATGTGTATATTAAATGGCACAATCATATGGAAGACACTCACGTACAACACAGACATATATGCATATATGCTATATACGCGCATACAAAGTCATAGGCAGACTGCGTAACGGACAGACAATCAGCTCCTCTTTTATATATAGATCTTAGCAACACGGGCGCAACAGAGTGTACTGTGATGAAGTGCCACGCAGGTGGAATCCCACATTCCGATGTTAAATTTGTGTCTAGCTTTGAAGGATACACAGTCCTACTCTTTGCTATTTTTATCAAGCGAGGAAGATATTGGTGTATCGCCCGTGGCTTGCATCAATGTGCGTGCGCGACTCGGTGACAAATCATTGAAAAATAAGGAATGAAATTCGATGTGGTTGTTTTCAATTTGTGCGATTAGGCTGATGACAAGTGGATCATCAGCAGCAGCAGAACGCAGCCCACAATCAGAAAGCAACCCCCCGAAATAACGCCTGACTTAAAATAGAAAAATAATAAAGATAATTAAGATAAAAAGTAATCGAAATTAGAAAAATAATTGTAAAAAACAGAAGTCAAGTAAAGGCTGAGCAAATAAAGATTAAAGAAAAAAAAGTAAAAAAAAAAATGATCTATGCAAAGAGTGTAAGAGAGGAAAAGGGAAGAAATATTAGAGAGAAGGAAAGAATAAGGCAAGAAAACAAAGAAAGAATAAAAAAAGAAAAGATAAAGGAAAAAAGGAGGAGGAAAGAAAATAGGTTTGTAAACAAATGAAACTAATAAAGAAGGAATTAGCCTTGTGTTGTAATAAATTAAGTTTGGTGAAAGAAAGAATAAAAGATGGTTAGAAATTAAAAAGAAAGGAAGAATAAAATGATTAAATAATAAAAGAAAGACAAATATTTTTTTGATTAATAAGAAAGAAAAATCCGGTTAAAAAGGAAGGAGGAAAAGGTTGAAAGAAAGAATCAAAGAAAGAAAGGTTGAAAGAAAGAAAGAAAGAAAGAAAGAAAGAAAGAAAGAAAGATGAATAAAGTCACCGAATAAAATAGAAAAATTCTACGAGAAAAGAAAGCTAAATTAGAAAGATAAAGAAAAGGACATTTTTATTTTTTATCAATTAAAAAAGAAGATAGATTATTAAAACTAAAGATAAAAGAAAATGTTGGAAAGAGAAAAAAAAATGAAGAAGCGGCTGACGTCATTTTCGGCGCCAAACAGTATTGGCTGGTGAAAGTCAAGAGACATTCCTAATCTGATTTAATGACATTGGAGCATGGCCAAGCCACCGACGGCCACGGAATAAAATTTTTATAGAGTTTCCTACACGATTCTAGTTTTTTCTATTTCTATATTTTTGCTCTATACTTTACCGGCATATTTCCGAACGATCCCCAAAATTGGAAATACGGACAAATATAAAGAGACATAAAGAACGGGGACAAAAGTTTAATGAATAAGTAAATAAAGAAATAAAGAAGGTAATGAAAAAACCTTTGAAAGCTTAAGAAAGAAAGAAATAAAAATAAGAAAGAAAGAAAGAAAGAAAGAAAGAGAGAAAGAAAGAAATTAGAAAACCATGTAATGCTTAAGAAAGAAAGAAAAAAAAGCTAATAAGAAAACCATGGAATTATTACAAAAGAAAGAAAGAAAGAAAGAAAGAAAGAAATGAGAAAACCATGGAATGCTTAAGAAAGAAAGAAAGAAAGAAAGAAAGAAAGAAAGAAAGAAAGAAAAGCCGGAAAGCATAGAGTCAGAAGAGAGTTCCACAGGCGTGAAGTGCGAGTAAAGAAACTGTTACATCTAGCCAATTCAATTGTAAAATGATGAGACTTTGTTGACAATGCGCTTAAATACATAAAAGCTAAGTGCCATAATGAAGAGTTCATCCGAGCAATTACAATGAAAGTATTTATAGAAAAGGCACAGGGAAGCAACTTTACGCCGGTGAGAAAGTGAGTGAAGCCGAGACGTCAGTTCAGGTCCAACAACGTTGTTGATTCTCCTTTGGATTTTATCAAGAATCTCTAAATAAATAGCAGGACCATCGGGTCATATGGGGCAGGAATATTTTAAGCATGGATGTATGGTAGACTTATGGAAAACCATGGAATTCTTACAAAAGAAAGAAAAAAGGAAGAAAGAAAGAAATGAGAAAACCATGGAATGCTTAAGAAAGAAAGAAAGAAAGAAAGAAAGAAAAGCTAATAAGAAAACCATGGAATTCTTACAAAAGAAAGAAAGAAAGAAAGAAAGAAAGAAATGAGAAAACCATGGAATGCTTAAGAAAGAAAGAAAGAAAGAAAGAAAGAAAGAAAGAAAGAAAGAAAAGCTAATAAGAAAACCATGGAATTCTTACAAAAGAAAGAAAGAAAGAAAGAAAGAAATGAGAAAACCATGGAATGCTTAAGAAAGAAAGAAAGAAAGAAAAGCTAATAAGAAAACCATGGAATTCTTACAAAAGAAAGAAAAAAGAAAGAAAGAAAGAAAGAAAAGCTAATGAGAAAACCATGGAATTCTTACAAAAGAAAGAAAGAAATAAAGAAAGACGGTAATGAGAAAACCATGAAATTCTCACGAAAGAAAGAATAAAAAGAAATAAGAAAAATAATGAGAAAACGATGGAATGCTTACGAAAGAAAGAAAGAAAGAAAAAAAAAGATAATCAGAAAATCATGAAGTGCTCACGAATGAAAACAGTTACAGAAATGCTAAAATTGAAAGAATAATCATTACTTCAATTTTTATTCGTGTTTTTCTTCTCTGTTTTTTTCTTCATTCATTCGTCCTCAGATTTTAATGAACGAAAGAAGGAATTAAAACGAATGCAACAAAGTATGAAAAAATGAAAGTAAGAAAATATGAAAAGTAAAAAAATTATTCTTGATTTTTTTTGTGTGTAATGTTTTTCATTGTCTCATTATTTTTCTGTTTTGCTTTTCTTTCATTCTGTTTTTCTTGCTTTTTTCTTCCTTTCTTTTCATTCTTTTTTCTTTGGGTCAAATGAAAGTAATGATGGGAAAGCGCAATCGTTCAAATGAACGTCCTTTAATCAGCAGAAAACATAGGATGGATTAAACTTGGAAAATTAAAAAATAACAAAACAGAAAAGTTAATGATAAAGAAAGAACAACGGTTTATAAACCAAAAAAACAAAAGTAAATATATATATATATATATATATATATATATATATATATATATATATATATATATATATATATAAAAAGAAAGTTATTTGTATATTGCATCTCCCTTTCACCATTTCCATGACAGATTTTGAATAAAATCTCTAGTCATCACCAAAAAATATTTGCGAAAAATGTCAATATATATTCTTTATTATAATATTTGCCTGCCCACTGGCGTTTAGACCGCCCGTACTGTATCTCTCGAAGGGCAATAAGACCCTTCTTAAAAATGGCTACTTCAAGGTGGATACTCACAGACGCGCGTATAAATCAGATTTATTATTCGGTTGAGTTATCTCAAACATTCATGAGTCTATCACGCCAACCATCACGGTCGTGTCATTAGGGCGGCATTCTTTGTCATAATATAGCTGGTCAGTGGTTTCTGAGCGACCAACCCTCCATGGCTAGGTGTCCAGAGCAGTAGATCACTCGCAAGTACTTGTTTTGTCCTGCAGAGCGCATTCTGTATTCTCATAAGAATGTAGAAATATCAGGGATGGTTCCCAAGATCTGCGATTTAGTTGGATGTTGTCTCCAAGAGATGTTAAGTATAGCTCACAGAATCCGAATGTAGATTCCATCAAGTTTAGACTCTAGGATTTTAGTTAATGTCCAAGCAGTGGCACCGTATATTAAAACCGCCTCTACAGTGGCTCAAAAGAATCTCCGTTTGAGGTTGTCTAGTAGATCAGAAGTCTGGATTACATTGAAGCGGCCCAGGCATTGGCTTTGCGAATTTTCGCATCATTTTCAGTAGAATTTATTTTGTTTCTAAGTACGTAAAAGATTCGACAGATTCTATAAAATTACCAGAGCAGTTTATATTGAGCCTTGATGGTTGAAACCTATGAATTCTGTTTTAGAGGCGTTGACATAGAGTCCGACATCTAGTTGATGTAGGAGAACTGTGGCATTACTAATGATGTCTTCAGGTCTTCAGGTCATCTGCATAGACAATATCTGTCAACTTTTAACAGGATATAGACTTGAGAGTCTTGGTGCTCAAAGTAAATCACAGAGGATGAGCTTTGTCGAGAGAAGTTCTTAATACGTAGACAAAGGTGATAAGAAAAAGAAAAGGTGCAAAGGTGTCACCCTGAAAGAATCTGGTGTCACTGTCTTGGCATCTCTTTGTACAAAACTCTGACTTCTGCCAAGAGTTGCCGAAGCTTATATTTATTTTCTTTCCTTATGACAATTACGCAATTCGTATATGTATGAACAAATACAAGTTTTCAACCTTTTAAAATCTAATGTAAACTGGACATGTGTCTACCTCTTGGATTCTAGTGTAAACTGGACCAATGTCTACCTTTTTTTTTGACCAGTGTAAACTGGACTTATACGGTATGATGGTATTATCTTTAGGATATTAGAGCAAACGGGACCTTGTAAAACCTAGATTTAAGTGCAACTGATTACAGATTATTAAAAATGATTATGTATCAAATTCTGTATAAAATAACGTCGTTTATTTATTCCTTTATTTATTTTTTGTAAAATAATAAAAACAAATCTGATTAAGAACAAACTCATTTGCATAGTAAATTCGTTTTAATTTCATTAATCCTTAATCAGTTGCAATGAAATCACCTCTTAATCTGTTCATTTTTATGCATTTTGTTCATTTTTTTATTTTTTTATTTGCTTTTTTGCATTAAGAGACATTAAAATTTGCATGCAGTTTCCCAGTCTCCTTCGGGCATAAATCTCACAATATTTTTTTTTGTTGTTGTTCTGGCGTGTTTATTTGATTTTAAATGATTTGTGCATTTTAATAAGAAAATACTCTTAATTGTGATTTTAAATCAAAATGAACTTAAAGGTTATTTATGTTGGTGAGCATGCAACATTAAAAATACTTTTCTTCTTAATCATTTCGGCCCAGAAAGTGTAATAAAGCCACTATGATGCAAGGGGTTACCGGGTGTGAAAGAATATTTGAGAAATGAAACGTTATTAAGGAGAGAGAACAATAAATGAACAGGAATTAACAAAATAAAAGGTAACAATTTATATGGCATTTAAATGTTCGAAGATCAAAGTTGATACCGAAAGAAATTTCCACAAGTGAGAAGTGCGAGAGAAGAAACTGTTAGAATAGAACTTACGGTTACAATACATCTAGACATTTCAACTATAAAATGATGAAACTTTGCCATCAATCTAGTACTAAACTTAGATTCGTAAAGTCCATGGAGAAAAGCTCATCAGAACAATTACCATGAAAGTATTTATAGAAAAGCACAGGGACGGTACATTACGGCGGCAACTAAGGTTGAGATGCCAGACCAGGAGCGATAACATTGCAGATTCTTTATTGGATTGTAATATTATTTAATTTAATATAATTAATAATGAATAGGAAGAATCAGACATTCGGGGAAGTTTCCAACATTAAAAACCTTTTTTCGATATGCGCCGAATAAACAGCAGAAAACTAAATCTAGGGCCGATGTGAATCCAGTAGATGTAAATTACATTACATTATTTATTTTAATTTTTAGACATTCACTGTGCCTATTTCAATATGTGATTTGCTACTCGGTATCTATCTATATATAAAGTTCTGTGACTTCCGTTAGTCCGTCCGTCCATCAAACCCTCTAAAAATAACCATACATTAACCGATGGAAACCAAATTTTAGGGAGAAGTGCAAACAGGTGAGGGGGGATACAATGTGCAGTTGGTTTTAATAAGGTGTGTAGCTTAGGACAATAAATTTTCATTAATTTTTTTTTGGAAAAATTAAAACATTTATTATTTAGCATACAAAATACTCCCACTATTTTAAAAAGTATTTAATGATTAAAATAACAAATAATTATTTAATAAAAATGCAATATTTTTTTGCGTATCGTTTCTTCAAGTTTTTTATATATTTCATTCTTGTAAAATATAATGCACAGTAGTAGCATTGTAAATATAAACACAGTTGGAACTATTTTCGTTCAGAAATTAGTACGCGCTCCCGTAAAGCGATTTTTTTTACTTAATTTAAGAAGAAAGTTAACTTTCAAATATATGTAAACATCGACAAATAAAAGAATAACAAAAGAAGAAAAAAAACCTAATCCTAATTTGAAAGTTAACTTTCTTCTTAAAAAAAATTACGTTGTTATTCTTTTCTACAAGGAATTACTGTGAAGGAAGTAAATAGGCCCAAATTTTATACGTCCACCAACAAAATTCAACACTAAATTACTTATCAATAAGCCGGTAATGGCTGACGAAAGACCAGGAAAAAGTCCGATTTTTTTTTCGGCTCGTTAACATCCAAAAAGGTAGGTTTCTTCAATATTAAATTGTTGATTTGAATTCAGCATATACATTTGCACGGAAATAAGACTATTTGGGAAAAATTTGAAGGAATATTAGCGCTCGGGTGTTAAGATAAAAATTTACCAGGATTTCAACATGCGTCAATGTGTTGCAAAAATTCTAATGTTCTTAATTCTTAATTGTTCTTTTCATTTAAAAAAATCTACATACTATATTTATCATTTATGTCAAAATGAAATTTTTGTGTTCAAATTTTATTACCTTTTAAAATTTACGACAATTCTTTTTGTCTACAAGGTTATCATTTGGGTCGTAAAATGCATCTTAATAAAATTCAAATATATATATATACGGGAAACTTCTCTAAATAAACGGTGAAAAATATAGTATTTTTTTGAGTCAAACATAAAAATTTCGCTAGAAACAAAGAAAATGGTACTGAACGATTGGTGTGAATGCTGTACAATCTCCTCACAGGTGAATAGGAGACAGGAAACAACAGAAATGTGGTTCTACAGAAGAATGCTGAGAATACCTGGGCGTGAGCAACGATGAAGTTTTAGTGAAAATTGAAACAAAAAGGAAACGTATACTTAACATCAGGAAGAAACGGTTGAAATTTAAAGTCACATAATGAGGAAAGAATGTTTGGGAAATGTGATACTCACAGCACGGATTGAAGGCAACAGGAACAAAGGAAAACAACGTATAACCTACTTGGATGGTAAATGGATGGTAGAACAGAGTTTAGTAGAACTAAGAAAAAGAGAAAATTTATTAAGAGCTCCATATGAAAGGAAATTGTGGAGAGTCATGATCACCAACGCAGTGAAGAGATTTTAACAAATAAATATTGGACTTTATTTTTATTCCTCTTTTTACCTTTGTCAATCTCTCTCTCTCTCTTTCTCTCTCTCTTTCTCTCTCTCTCTCTTTCTCTCTCTCTCTCTCTCTCTCTCTCTCTCACTCACTCTCTCCTCTCTCCATCTTCTTCCCGTTCCTCCTACTTTCCTCTGTCGTTTTCGCCTCCTACTTTCCCCTGTCATTTTCTCTGCTACTGAACGTCGTCTTTTCTCTATTCTCCCTCTGTTCCAGTTATTCACACTACTACTGCTTAATCAACACCTATCGTCTCTCGCACCTAATTCTGAACAAATTTATTATTCGGTTGAGCTATCTCGGATATTCATGAGTCTACCACGCCAACCATCATGATCCTGCATCAAGGTCGGAAGGTCATTAGGGCGGCATTCTGTGTCATAACATTGTAGGTGGTTGCTAGGCGACCAGCCCGTCTTGCACCATGACTAGGTGTCCAGAGTAGTAGATCACTGGTAACTTCTTGTTTTCCTCGCCAGGATGTTGTCTCCAAGAGATGTTAAGTATAGCTCACAGTTTTCCATGAAGCTTAGACTTAGGATTTTAGTTAAAATCCAAGAAGTGGTATCGTACATTAACACTGCCTCTACAGTGGCTGAAAAGAATCGCCATTGGAGTTTGTCCGATAGATTAAATTTCTAGATTACATCCATTTTATTCAAGGGGCTGTCTTTAGCTATACTAATTTTCACATCCTTTTCAGTAGAATTTATTTTGCTTCCTAGATATTTAAAAGATTCAACAGAGTTTATTGACTCACCTGAAACAGTTTGTATTGAGCATTGACGGTTGAAACCTATGAATTCCATTTTATTGACATAGAGTCTAACATCGTTGACAGCATTTTCTAGATGATGTAAGAGACCGTGGCATAAATAATGATGTATGCAGTGAAATCTAGATCATCTGTATAGT